GTGAGCTATGATGCCACAGCACTCTACCCAGGGGGACAGCTTGAGGCTCTGTCTCAGAAAAAAAAAAGGAGCCAGGGGAGAACATTCAAGCCAGTGACCTCTCATGTCCCATTCAAATTTTAAATATCTATCTGGGCTTGAAAATAAGTGACCTTCAAGCTTCCTCAGCCCATGAAGACAGGCATGTGTGTCCTGTGCCTGCATGTCTAGAGCAGAATGTCTTTGAAGATCATCCCCAGGGAGGGCTGGGGGTGTGGCTTCTGTGCCAGGTGAAAGTCTTCTCCAGCCCCAGCCCCATCTCACAGACAGAGGCCCTAAGCATCACCCCAGACTCCCCCTTCCCAGGCCAGAACTCATGCCAGATAGTAGGGTCGCTCAAGGCAGGGTTTTTGCCCTCATGGAATACAAGTGGTTTAGGGTAACCTGGTGATGTGGGTGTTTCTGGGGCAAACACTTAATGCCAGGACATCGTTGCAGCTCATGCTTTTGCCTAAGCTGTCTCTCTCTGTTGGAATGCCTTCCCTCTGGCCACTGTCACCTGCTCATCCCTCAAGTCCCAATTTCAGCCCTTGCCTCCTCCACCAGGAAGGCTCCTGCAACGCCAACTGCCCCAGCCTCAAAAGATCCCACTTTGAACCTGACCATGCACATAATCTATCCCACCAGGGTGAGCTTTTCCTGCTGTCCCATTCCCATCCCTTGCTCATGTGCTCCTCCACCAGGAGTTCTGTCCTCCCTCTTTCTGCCTGCCACACACTCCTGGATGCCCCCACCCGTGGCTGCCAGCTCAACTCTGAGCTCCTACAAAGCAGAGCTGAGATTTTCCCTCTCTGGTGTCTTCTAGCCTCAGGTGGAGCCCAAGGAAGCCCATTGGCTCTGCTGTCTCCTTGGCCTTTCCCAAGTCCCGCAGCATCTGAAGAGGGCACTGTGAGGTGTAGAGCACAGGGTAGGGGTCAAGACACCATAGATCCAAGCCCTAGTGCTGCCATCCATTTGCTGTGTGTCATAAGGCAAGCCTCTTCCCCTCTCTGAGCCTCAGTTTTCTCACCTTTAAAACGTCTCTTTTGGATAAGACTCTCTGGCAAGAGTTCCACAGGTAGGCACCTGTCCTTACCTTGACAAGGTTGAGGAAGTTCTGCAGATGACTGACCCCTGCCTCCCGACCCTGAGACGAGGAAGCCCTTATATTTGGGAGCCTGATTAGCTACTTGGCCCAGATAATTATCTAAAGGCCCAAAGAACAGGAGCCCTGATGCTCATGTGACATTTCAGTCTGTTCCAACATAAATAGCACAGAGGACAAGGGTGTCCTGGGAGGCTGGTGACCACAGGAGGGCAGGTGTGAGGGACGAGCTCTGGTTGCTGGAATGGGCATTCATGCTCACACCGGGCCCTCTCCTAGACCCAGCACCTCCCACAAGGCTAGGCACACAGTAGGCATGCATTTGTTCTTTCAACAAAATCCCTTTTTGAGCATCTATTGTGTGCCAGGCCCATTCAGGGCACTGGAGTTGCCTCAGTGAACGGGGGGGGCGGGGGGGGAGGGCAGTTGCCATACAAATCAATGACTGCAGAGCCAGCCACTCCGGAGGGAGGAAAGGGTGGTGGACAATACTGGGGACAGGACAGGGATGGAATGACAGGGTTCTCATCGGAGCTGGGAGATCCCTTGAACAGGGGATGCTGGAGCTGATGCCAGGGGCCAAGCAGAGCCAAGTCTATAGGACGGAGGATGTGTTTCATGTGGGGCTGGCTCATGCAAAGGCCTGGGAGACACCAGCTGAACCCAGGAGAGTTTGTGCCTCCCAGATTCACTCACGGGGCAGGGGAGCTAATGGCCAAGTGATCTAACCTCAGAGGGACATTCCTGCCAAAGATACTGGGACACGGTAAGTACTGGGTAGGTAGGAAGGCTTTCTTTTAAGGTTCCTATCTGGGGGCAATGAAGTCAGGGGTGATGGGCGAGGGGGGATGTCACCGGCCAAGCAGCCACAGAGCTGGGACTAGAACTAGGCCCCAGTGCCGGGCTCTGTTCTGCTCCCTTGAGCTCCCCAGGGAGGCTTGGCCTAGGGAACCTCAAAGGCCTTTGTGCTGGGACAGCTGGGTGTCTGGAGTTTCTTCATCCACACCATAAGGACCCCACAGGTCTGGAAGACTGAGGAAGCCACATGCCCATGTGCACGTGGGGCCACTGAGGCCAAGGGGAACAAGTGCTGCTGGAGGTCACACTGCATGGCTAGACCAGCACGGGACAGAGTGAGACCAGGGCCCTCAGCTGCTCAACCAATCTCTGTCCTGCCCTGCCCTGAGCCGCAGGAGCCAGTCTGCAGATAGAATCACCTTATCCCTGCAACCCGCCCTCAGCAGACTGGGCTAGGCAGGTCTCACACCCTCCATGCCTGCAAATCCACCCGGTGTGGCTCTGGCTCCAGTCAGAGGCCCTCCCTGCCTTCCTCAGCATTGTCTGGGCATAGGGCAGAGGAGACAGGAGGAACCCCTTGAGTGGGTTCAGGGACCTGAGCCTTAATCCCAGCCACTGGACTCTCAAGCTGTGTGGCCTTGGGCAGCCGCTCAACTCCTAGGCTCTTTTTTTTAGCCTCTTTATGGTGAGGGGACAGAACTTTATGATACTGAAAATTGACTAAGCCCAGCCTTCCTGCTCTGCAGGGGGTGTGCTTAGTAGTTTATTAGCGCCTCTCTGAATGCACCCTTAAACTGTGTTCTGTGACATGGGATGGGACTCCATTAAGCGTTTCTCCTTAGCATGATGGTAACCTTTCTCAGGGGAGGCCCTGGAGGGGCAGAGAGAAGAGGCTTCCTGCAAGTCCCAGTGTGGGCTGGGGTTGGCTGTGCAGGGATGTGGGTGAAGCCTGTCCAAGCCACAGGCCCGGAGCTAGGTCCCTCCGTGAGCCTGCAGCCTCAGCTGTGGACAGCCCTTCTGCAGCCCTCTCCAGACAGAAACCAGAGATATCCCCACCCAGCTAGCCTGTCCCCTTGAAGGCCTCTTGTCCATGCTGGTATCCAAACTCCTCTGTAAGTAGGAGGTCACCAGCAGCTGTGGTCTTATGCAGCTGCCTGTGGCCCAGAGAGCCATACACTGAGCCCTGCTCCATCCACAAGCTACACCCCTAACCCACCCCTATGCTGCTTGCCCAGAAGTCCAGGGCAGCTCCCACCAGGCCAAACCCGCCAGTGTCTGTGCTGTCCAGCAGGCTGAGCAAGACTTTCTCCAAAGAGGCCTAAAGCCCTTCCCAGCTTGTCCTTCCTTAGATGCTCTCCCTTAGCCCTAGAGGACCACACACAGCTGCCTTCATAGTCATTCTTTACCATAGTTAATCACTCTTCATACTAAGCTTCCCCTATTTATGCTCCTGTGTGGTTTCTATCCTCTCACTTGACCCAGATTACTGCTCTCATCTGTCCTTGTTAAAGTCGTTTCTAACAGGCACCTCACTGAATGACCGAATGGCATCTATCAGGGATTGATGGCTTTCTTTCTAGGCAGGGAGCTCAGGGCAGGCATTTACATCTCACTCCTCTTAAAATAACATATTATTGAACCGGGCAAATCACAGGGACAAACAAAGCCTGGTTGTTTGGAAAAAATGAAAAAAATGAGTGAATGTACAGATGAAAGGATGCATGTATGGGTGAGTGGATAGGTAGATGGGTGGGCTTAGTAGGTGGATGGAGAAATGGATGGGTGGATGGATGAATAGATGGGTGGATGGATGAATGGATGGATGGATGGGTAGATGGATGGATGGATGAATGGATGGATAAGTGGATGGGTATGTGGATGAGTAGATAGGTGGGTGGATGGATGGATGGATGGATGGATGGATGGGTAGATGGATGGATGGATGAATGGGTGGATGGATGGATGGGTATGTGGATGAGTGGATAGATGGATGGATGCATGAATGGATGGATGGACAGATGGATGGGTGGATGAGTGGATGGATAGTTGAATGGATGGGGTTGGTTAGTGGATGTATGGATGAGTCACTGGACTGACTGATGGTTGGAAAGATCCTACATATTGAGCTCATACTATATTTCTAGGTTATTATCTTCCTTCCTTTATGGGCTAGGCCTGTGTCTCTCCCATACTCCAGACAACCTGGCCTAAGGCTAAACCTTTACTAAGCCTCAATAAAAGTAGGATTAAAGAATTTATTAACTAAGCAACCAAATGAAATAAAAGCCCCACTGTCCTGAGCAAGTTCTTGAGGCTGGATTTTCCAGTCTTCCCCGTTCCACTCCCTCAGTACTATCCCCCACCTCCTACCACTGAGTATACTGTCCCACCTACAGTCTACCGCTGAGACTCTGGGCTTGGTTAAGTCCCTTCACCCCGTCACACTGGAGCCTTCTGGAATGAACCTGAACTTTCACAGGGAGAGAGTGGCTAGTGTCACACCATACCAAAGACTCTGCTTACAGATGGTGGAAATTCAGGCATCAAAGGGAACACAGGCAAAACATGAATCCTGTATATCTGGGCAGGAAGAAATTGTGTCTCTGGCTAAGAGATTAGCTTATCAGGAAGAGAAAAGCACATGTCCTTGGCTTGCCAGTGTTTGTACCCTTTGACCCCCCCCTGAGCCATTGTGTTGGTTATGACTCACTGGGTTGCAGAGCTTTCAGAGGGAAGAGTTAGACATATCTGATGAGACCAGAAGGGCAGAGGCTGGGGAGGCAGATGCTGCCTCCTTAGAATGAAACACATGGTCATGACCAGAGTAAACCAAGGCTAGAGGTACTGCCTGGAAAGGCAATGAACTTCCCATCACCTGAAGTTTGTGACTGAAGGACAAAGTCCAGGTGGGGGCGCTGGTGGATGACTGAGGGAACTGGACATCTTGTGTCTGGATAGTAAGAAAGTCACAATGTTGGAGATCTGTCACTGTCCAGCTCTGAGACTCTGGGGCCATTCCTCTCCTGTGGCCCCATCTGTAAAATGAAACTCCAGACCTGCCTGCCTGGCTCACGAGGCTCTTATGAGGCTCTAGTAACTAGACAAAGGATGCTACCAGGTAGCAGGCGCAGCGCCAGAAGTGCCCCATGGTGCTTCTAACTTCCAGCTCATCCGTGTTGCTGTTCAGAGGCCTCTTTCAAAAAAGGACCTCCCCTGGGCAAGGACATGACTGAGTCAACAGCTGTGATCAACAGAGATGTGGTCATATCCTCTTCCTCTTTCACGCAGCTTTGGGGGCTCCGGGGACAGAAAAGACTCAGGGATTGCCTTGGATACATGGAATTCACCAGGCCTGGCTGGAGGTTGCAGCTCGAAAGAAGTTGTTTAATGGAAGAGGGCAGGTCTACACAGCCTGGAGGAGCAGTCTGCTCCCCACCAGAAGGGGACAGAGGACAAAGAGGTGAGGGAAGAGGAGGGGGACAGATGGGAAGGAAGCAAGGGAGAGGGATCCAGACACTCAGTGAAGGTTAAACAGCTCAGTTGGTCTGTCTGGCTTGCTGGTGATGGCTGAGTATGGCTTTGCCTCAGTTTCCCCTGTGGATCGAGGTAAGAGGGTCCCCAGAGCAGCAAACTGGCCCACTGTCAGTCCTCCCAGTGAACCTGCCTCAGCGCTGGTAGAAGAGTCCACCAGATATCACAACGTAGCCCTGAAGGGCAAAGAAAACCACGGGACAACTTAAAGGTTGCATGAGGCCAGGAAGGACCCCAGCCACCCCATCAGCCTGGCTCTGAATTCACCTCCTGCCATTCTTGCTGTGTGTCCTGAGGAGACTCCTTTGCCTCTTTGGGCCTCAGTTTCCCTCTCTGTCTCTTGGGGGGTGCAAAGCAACTGGGAGGTGCAGCGAGATCCCTCAGGAAACGCTCTCAACATGGGGCCAGCAGTGAATGTGTGTCCAGTGGCCAGGACCACTGCTATTTTGATGGCCAGAAATCCAGAATCATCACGTATCTTCTTCAAGCCTAAGTCTCTCCAGCAGAGAGAGCTGGGGAGAAGCTCCAGACCTTCCCCACTCTCTATGCTGCACTTTAGAAACATTCTGGAGAGCTGCTAATCTTTCATTCATTCATTCAACAAATCTTCATTGAGCCTCTATTGTAAGCCAAGCCCTGGGGCAAGTGCAGGGGACCCACTTCCTGCCCAGTGTAAGGGTACGTGGTTGAACACAGTAGCCATTAGCCACAAATGCCCTTGGCTGATAGCAGCTACTGATTTAGACAATACAAATTTCCATCCTCACAGGAAGTTCCACAGGATGGTGCCCATCTAGGGAGCTTTGACTTCTGTCTTGTTGGTTGGACTCTGAATGCCAACATGAGTCAGCCACTGACCACGCCTGTTTGGGGGAGTCTTGAGGAGATTCCCACTAATAGCTGTGCCCCCTCTGTGTCCCAACTGTTCTTTCTCATGTGGGTACATCACCCAGGAGCCTTGGGACCTGAGTTCCTAAAGAACAAAGGTGCGATTCCTGGAAAGACATTTGCAGGTCATGCTTGGGGGTATGAAGATGTTGCGCTGGAGACCTTGGCTCAGTTTCTATCCTATGTATGTCTTGTTGAGTGAATTTCCTTTTATATCCCAGGCAAAACAGGAAAAAAAGTTGCAGGATCTCACCCTGGGCCCACAATTTCAGGCCTAGGGAAAGCAACTCTAGAAAGCTGGGGATGTTCCCTGCCCCCATCCAGGCTGCAGAGGTTTGTTTACAAAGCTGGAAGGAGCCCCCTGTCATCTTCCTCCAGACCTCACAAGGGTCATGCCCATTCCAGGGCACAGAACCATGGGACAAATCCCCTGAGTGTGGCCTGTTATATAATTTTATCAGGACTAACAGGCGGGTGGAACCTTCACACCAAAGTCTCTTAATGTCCTGAATGGTCCATCTTGGGCAGTTAAGAATTCACAGCATGGTCTTGGAGGGAGCAGAGTGCACCCACCACCTGAGCCGAAGCCCCCAGGTTTGTACTAGAAAGAAGGAGGGAACAAGGAGACCTCACTGAGCCAGCCTCCCTCCAAGAGTGGAGGAGGTTCTTCTGGTCACACCCAAAGGTTCTCACCTCATAGACAAAGATTTCAGGGGTGACGTAGAGGAGGTTGATCACGTTGGGGAGGGCAATTCCTATGCCCAAAAGAGCTGCGGGTGGAAGGAAAAATGAAGTTGTGCTGGGGGCAGTAACAGATCACCACCTGGAGCAGCCCTGAGTGCCAGTCCTCATGTGCATCAAGATACTGAGTCCTCACTGCTGCCCAGGAGGTAGATAATGTTGTTGCTATACCCATTTTACAGAAGGGGAAACTGAGGCTCAGAGAGGGAGAGGAACTTAGCAAAGATCACACAGCTGCCCATGTGTGTCACCCTCTTAATCTCTGAGCAAGGAAGGGGGTGAAGACTGAGCATGGGGCCAGGATAAGGTCAGGGGGTGGCCGAGGAGCCCTCCTGGAGTAGGGGGCAGGTCTCACCATTGAGGTGGTCCAGCAGGGGCTTCTCAAATACTGTGCCCATGAGCGTGTGCACTTGATCCTCCTGCAGCCACAGAGTCAGGGAGGAGGGGAGCACAGGCCACTCCAGACGAGGGGCCAGGAGATAGGGACAGTTAGGGACATACACAACACATGTACAGACAGACAGATGGCAGAGGCAGAGGGAGAAGGAGGACAGGAGATCATCCACGTCCTGGGTTCAAGCAGAGCCAAGCTACACCCCAGGGCTGAACCCTACTTGGGACAGGCACTAGGGAGAAGAAGCTGAGGAACCCACACACTGGCTGGCACCCACACACTGTGTGACCATCGGGTGCATTGGGTGGCAAACCACCTGTCACCAGATGATGAGAGACAGACAGATTGACATCTGAGTGGAGGGAGAGGGCATTGAATGGCACACCACTGACAAGTGGATGCCTGATGGCTGGTGGCCCAAACATGTCACTCAGCTGAAGGGACAGCCCACACTCCAACCTGTCCACTGACTGATGGCTTCTCAGGCTCAGGGCCGGGTGATGAGTCGTTGATTACAGAGTGACAAGCAGGCAGGCTGCCTGGCCACTGTTCCCAGACACCCTGGGGAAGCCTGATCATGGTGACACATACAGACGCACATGTACACACACCCCTTCCCCAGGCTCCAGGCCCCACCCACCCAGCATAGGGTCTCTGGAGACCCCAGGCCCTCACTCACATCAACCAAGCCTACATTGGAGGAGGTCACTGTGAGCTGGATATCCCTGAAAGAAAAGAAGGAGGGTTCAGGTGGAACCTAACAGCCCCCAGGCCCAAGCTCCCCTGGCTGACACTGTGACCCATGTGTTGTGGACCCACTGCACAGAAAACATGTAGAAGCCACTGGGTCCAGGAGGTCTCACTTACCCCAGCACAGACGTGGAGCCCTGAAGCTTCACCTTGGACATAGAGAACTGGAGGCTCATGTTCACTACCTGGGTATGTGGGGAGGGCAGGGTAAGCGGGCACAGAGCCACCAGGGAACATTTGGTGGGCCACCAGCTACCCGGCCTCCCGTGCACTCCCCACTCATTCAGGCAACACGTGTTTGTGGAGCACCTGCTATGTGCTAGGCCCTGCAGTGACTGTCAGAAGCAACACAGCACATGCCAGTGAGAGAGGAGACAATAGCCAAAGTAACCAGACCAGATCGTGTTAGAGAGTGGCAGGTACTACAAAGGCAGATTGGTGGCAAGGAAAAGGCTCCTGGGAACCTTCTCACTCAGGGTAGTCCGGGAAGGCTGCCCTAAGGCTCCAACATTTAAGCTGAGACCTGAAAGGTGAGGAAGGGCCAAGAGCCAGGGCAGGAGATGCCTAGCTAGCGGGCTCAGAGTGTGCAAAGGTCCTGAGGCAGGAACATCTTGCCATGTTCAAGGAACAGAGAGGATACTGGTGTAAAGAGTCAAAGCAGCTGAGGGAGAGCAAGCGGGAGTGAGATCTCCTTGAGAGCTGCCCACCTCCAGCCACTCCCACCTGGCCCAGTGCTCACCACATCCAGGGAGAAGAGGGAATGGAAAGCGGAGTTGGAAACCACCGCCAGGACCTCCACAAAGGGCTGCAGCTGCAGTGTAGCATTCTTGGGATGGAGGAAGGCCATGGGCGTGGCACCTAGCCTCACCTTGAGCACCACCGGCATGGGCTCGGGAAACTGGCGGGCCACCTGGAAAGCAGAACAGGAGGAGGGCCCCACCAGGCAAGCCTAGGTGGCTTCTCTACTCAGTCATTCCCCACATTTGCTAATCAAGCCACCGTTGAGTTGTACATGGCTGGGCCATAGAGGTGGGTCCACCCTAGGCTGCTGGATTTGGGGTTTAGTCTCCCCTAGACAGTGTCCTTAAGCTCAATCTTGAGGAAAGGTAGAGATGAAGACAAAGAACATGGTGTCTGGACAGAAGGAGGGGCCTCCCTGAGATTGAAGAGGAGGAGCAGCCTTAAGGTCAAATGCTGAACCCTACTTGGGACAGACACCAGCCAGCAGAGATCCCACAGCCCAAAGAACCCCCCACCCCAGTCCCATGCCTTAGCCCCTGGAATGGCAGAAACGTCACCAACCTCAGGAATGAGCCGGCCCAGTGCAGAGGTGTTCAGTGGGTTGTCATCTGACCTCTGAAATCAGTCCCCCATGCCATGACAGGTTTTAGGGCAGCCACTCCCCAAGCTAGATCACCACCTGCCCCTTATGGACAGGAATCACTCCTGGAGACCCTGTTTAACCCTTCCAACAGCTTTCCTGTGGGCCCAAACCCCAGCTTCCCCAACCACCCATGATTTGGCCTCTATGGGGTCTCCTTGAGCTGGGCCGTAGAGTGCCCCTGCCCCTCCCATGTGCCCTGGGCAGCAGGTCCAGCCTTACCAGCTCCCCTGTGATGTCCAGGTTGAGGGCACCGGCCTTCTGCAGCAGCAGGAGGGCAGAGTCAAACAGGTTCTGGGAGAGGCCCACAGTGGCCATGGTGCCCTTGGTGCCCACATGATGGGGTAGCACAAAGGGGGTGACATCCTTGGGCAGGATGATGGGCTTGCCCAGCAGGAAGAGAATAGCCTATAGGAGGTGGAGGAGGGAGAAGAGTGGCCAGATGACAGTGGGAGGTGGCTCCAGGGCAGAACTGGTATCTTAGATGTCACCCCCCACCTGTCTAGCCTCACAACTTTGTCTATGTGCCCTGCTCCCAGCTGGAATGCCATTCCAGTCCCTCTCTCCTTAACTCTCTACTCCTTTAGGAATCTCCTGGGACACTGAGGATTCCAGAGGCAACAAGCCCCAAGCTCTGGGCTGACAAAGAGGCACTTACATGGATATCAAAGGAAATGTAGTCACTAGTGATGGTGGGCTCATTGATCATGGTGTAGCGAATCTGGGACTCAGGACCCACAGGGTTGAGGCCTTAATGAAACAGGATGGAGAAGAAAAGGTGGCACATTTAGCACTTCATGCATCCAGAAAATATTATCTGATTACCCAGAGTCAGACCAAGAACCAAAAAAGGCAAGGCAAGGCCTTTGAGTAAGCACATCTAAGTAGCAAAGTGCACACACCCAACATTCAGCCACACACACCCTGCTGCCTCTTAGCTTGGATACAGTTCTAACAGGCATGGTTTCTGCTTTCCCATTTGGGAGAAGACTAGTGACTCCAAATTAGAAGGAAAGAGAAGGATCAGACCAGGCACAAATAACCCCTGGCAAAGGCAAGAAAGAACCACAAAATAAAGAAGAGAGCTCTTGTTTATCAAAGTCCAGAATTTGGACATTAACCATCTCATTCAGTCCTCATTATAGTCCTACGGGGTTATTTGACATGCACACACACAGACACTCAATATTTCCCACATACACAGGCTAGGAAGGTTCAGTCTTGCCCAGGAGTGTGCACAGTCTCGTATACTGTGTCAGGAACTCCAGAGGCACATACTCCTGGAGCTAGTGAACACAAGAGCACAGAAGTCAAGCAGCTCTCAGACAAGCATAGCCAAGAGCCCACTTCAGGCAAGTTTACCGAAGGCTCAGAAAATTCTCATTGAGAAGGTTGCATAGGATGAGCCACTGATGGGAACCACATTCCTGGACATAGCTGGAAGGCAAGGCAGGCTCAGGCTCAATCCTAGCCATCAGGAAAGCCCAGCTCTGAGCAAGAACCCCTCCCCCAAGGGCTCTGGGTAAACCAGAGCATATGTAGGTATAGAGAAGGCTATGTTTTATATATCTACTTATGTCTACGTGTATATCTGCTGTTAAATATCTCTTATATTTATATTTTGTATAGTTTTGTATATATATATAATATGTAAATTATATTCAAATATATGATAAAAATTAAATTATATTTAAATATATAATAGTAAATATATAAATATTTACTATTTTGTATACAAATATAGAGTACATAAAATGCCTAAATACATATTTATAAATATGCCTCTATTCAGACTTTTGTTTTTCTATTGTATGTTCTAGATTTAATTTTATTTTCCCTAATATTTTGGATATTGTTTATGATTGTAAAAGAAATATCATGTGATTCCATTTTTACAGAGATTGGGATGGAAAGAGAGGACCAGTGTGAAGGGATTTGGGGGACTCTAGAACATTCTGCATTTTTAGTGTGGTAGTTGTTACATGACCATAAGCAGATGTCAAAATTCTATACCAACAAGGCTAAATTGTTCTATGTTTAAAAAATAAATAGAAACACAAAACAATTAAAAGAACAATACATATTTATTGTGGAATTTAGAAAACATAAAAAAGATGAAAAATATAGCCCATAATCTCAAATTTATTCTTTTTTTTTTTAGATTTTCTTTGCTTTCTGTTGTTGTGAGACAGTCTCACTCTGTCACCCTGAGTAGAGTGCCATGGCGTCACAGCTCCAGCAATGTCAAACTCTTGGACTCAAGCGTTCCTCTTGCCTCCACCTCCCAAGTAGCTGGGACTACAGGCACCTACCACAATGCCAGGCTAGGGTATTTTTTGTTTTGTTTTTTTTCTGTTTTTAGTAGAGACGGGGTCTTACTCTTGCTCAAGCTAGCCTCAAACTCCTGAGCTCAAGCAATCCACCCACCTCAGCCTTTCACAGTGCTGGGATTGCAGGCATGAGCCACTGTGCGTGGCCTTATTCAATATTTTCTTATGCAAAGATAAGTTTCTCATTTTCCTTTTTCCTGTTTAAATAAAACTGAAGTGAAGCTACATATAGTTTTGTATCCTTCTCTTTTTTCTTAACAGCATTACAACTTAATTAAGAGCATAGGCAAGGGCAGTGCCTGTGGCTCAAGGAGTAGGGTGCCAGCTCCATATACCAGAGGTGAAGGGTTCAAACCCAGCCCTGGCCAAAAAAAAAAAAAAATAATAAAGAGCACAGGCTGCCTCAGTTTTGTCATCTGTAAAATGGGGCTGATAATGTTAGCTTTTATTTTATGTATTTTGCCAGGCATGTTGCTAGGTGAATAAATGTTCCCTTTAAATTATGCTTTTAAACAGTTTGTAAGAATCTGAGATGATGGATATAATTAGCTTGATTTAATTATTCCACATTGTATTCCTAGATCATAACTTTGAATCTCATAAATATACATAATTATAAATTGTCAACATACAATAAAATTTTCAATAAGTAAAATTTTAAATAATTCATTAATGGCTTCTATGATTTCACATTCTAGGTATATAGCCAGTCCTCTAGTAAAGATTTCCTTTACTAGATTAATTTCTCAAAGACAAGGGCAAGAGCTGGTTTTTGATATGCATCCACGTACAGGCTTCTTGATGGACATCACCTTGTGGAGGAAAAAGGAAGGCACCTACTTATTAAGCCTATTGCACGTCAGGCAGTTAACCTGTGCTGTCTTATAGCAAGGCATTAGAAAAAGTAGGAATCTTGATCCCTATGTTTTCAATAGAAAGCTTAGGTTCAGAAAGATCAAGTGACTTTTCTAAGGTCACACAGCAAGTGAACTTCTGGGACCAAAGTCACATCCTTTAATTCTAAGTCCAATTTTCTTAGCCTCTTGGTGCTTCCTCTTAAGATAATACGGGGGCTTGGGCAGCTCAGGGAGCAAGGAAATGAAGGAAAGGCCCCCAGACAAGGTGACTTTGAGTGTGTTGTCAAGTGCATCCAGAGCAGTAGCCAGATGTGTGTGGAGAAGAAAATCAGGGTGAGTTGGTAAGAGGCGGGGTCTGAGCACCATGCTGAGAAAGTAGATGCAGAGCCTCTGACTTCCCATCTGTATAATAATGCCGCTTTGCAAGACTGTTGTTAAAAGTTTGTGCAAGAAAGCTAAAGCTACCTAGATACAAAAATATTTACTAAAGAACCCACCACAGGTACACATGCTGGTGACGACCACCCACCGACATCCCATCAGCATGTCTGCCCCTGCCCAAAGCCAAAGCCAGCAAATTGCAAAGTGGAGGTGCCAGCAATCAGCAGCACCAGATTTCATGACATCAGTGGCAATGCCGTGGCAGAGAAAGAGATAATAGAATCCCAGGCAAAGCCGCCACAAGGGAGAAGGTGCTTCAGACAGGAGCGACTTTTAAACAGCCTTGTGAAAAAAGTGATGAGCCTTTGATTATGCTCAGGCTGTAAGAACCAGATGTGAAGCCAGGAGGTTGTACGGAGCTCCTCAAGAAGGTATGACTCCCAGATCAATGGGTGATGCGTTCTTTAATCAGTCTAAGGATTGTGGGTAATTGCCACTGTAGTTCTTAAATATTAACAAATATTGCTAAAAAGATGATGAAGTCCAGCTAATTTCACAGCTTTTAGTTTTAATCGTAAGATAAAGTCCTCATGGAGCCTTGTTTAGGAGGCCACTCTGGCCACTGTTGTAAGTGGACCAACCACAGTGGCTGCAGGTACCTGGGGCAGGTGTGGAAAGTGGGGAGCACTATGCAGGTGAGCCATTACTGGGAAGAGTTAGTGGACACACCCAGCTCTTTGTCTTTTGGGTAGGACAGGGCTGAGGCATGTTCTACTCCCCAGTGGGACTGAGACATAGTGCCCATGCAGTAACCTTCCTGCCCTGTTTCACTCGCCCCTCCCGGACCCATGCTCCCTACAGCACCTCCTACATGAACCACTTACACTAAAACCCTGCCAGGCTTCTGGGGGATCAGTCTAAGGCAGCTGCCTACTCCTATAGTTAGTCACTTCTGGGTAGTGGAAAAATCAGAGGTGAACGAGGCTGATGGAAGGTGGGGAGGAGAAGAAGGCTCAGCCCAAGGCCCTGCTTGGATGGTGGGTGGCCCCTTGAGGAGAGAAACAGGAATAGGGACACTTTAGAGCAAAAGAGCTTGTGTTCTGTCCAGGACATGCTGAGTCAGAGGAGCCTATGGGACTTCCAGGAGGAGGTGGCCAGGGGGAAGTGGAATATAAAGGCCTGAGCTTAGGCTAACACCCCAGTTCTGAGAGTGGGAGGAGAGGGAGAGGGTCTCACAAAGATGACCGAGACAGAGATCTGAGATGTGGGAGCAATGTGGGGGAGCACAAGGACCCTGAAATCTCCAGCCAAGGGAGGCCATTGAAACAGAGATGCACCCACTCCTGCACACACGCGCGCGCACACACACACACACACACACACACCAGGCTGGCAATGCTCTTGCCCATCACCGCAAGAGCCCAAAACTGCCCAGCCCTCAGGCGTGAGTTCTTCCCCCAAACACCGCCTGCAGGAAGGGCTCTGAGGCAGCACGTGGTATCTGCGCCCAGTCCGCAGCTGGCAACAGGGTCTACCTGCTACTCCCCACCCCTCACCACCTTCTATTCTAGACAGCCCTGAGGACAAAATGGGGTGCCCTTGGGTCATGCATCCTTCCTCCCTGAGCTGCTTCAAGAACCCCACCTGTCATCTCTTTTGTCTCCCAACCCAAGATGCAAAGTCCAGCGCTTTTTAAAATCAACACAGCTTATTTCCCAGGCCTGGTGCTATGCTCCGCACTTTATGTGAACTGTCAAGTTCAATTATTCTCACAGCCACCCTGCAAGGGAGGTTCATTATTATTTTTTTTTTTTTAGAGACAGAATCTCACTTTATTGCCCTTGGTAGAATGCTATGGCATCCCAGCTCACAGCAACCTTCAACTCCTGGGCTTTGGCGATTCTCTTGCCTCAGCCTCCCAAGTAGCTGGGACTACAGGTGCCTGCCATAATGCCCGGCTATTTTTTTGTTGCAGTTTGGCCGGGGCTGGGTTTGAACATGCCACCCTCAGTATAAGGGGCCGGCGCCCTACTCACTGAGCCACAGACTTCCTAGGAGGTTCTACTGTTACCCACGTCTTACAGAGGAGGAAAGGTTGAACGAAACACCATGGGCAGCACTGTGGGAACCCAGCCAGGCAGGCCCCAGAGCAGGCATCTCTCAGACTCAATGTGGCATGGTCTCCTGTCCTGATTTAATGTTTTCCTTTAAATCAACTTCCTTTTTCTTAAATTAATTGCAGGAAAGCTTTCTATTACTGTCAAGAATCAGAAATTAACACTCACACTCATGACATCACCAGCTAGATGGGGCGGTTATTTATCCTTACCAATATGGCATCACAATAAATGCATAACTATCCAATTGAAGAATTAGCCACAAAGCCAGGTGCAACAGCTCACACCTGTAATCCTAGCATTCAGGGAGGCTAAGGTGGGTGGAGTTCAAGACCAGCCTGAGCAAAAGCAAGACCTTGTCTCTACTAAAAATAGAACAATTATCCAGGTGTTGTGGTGAGCGCCTGTAGTCCCAGCTACTTGGGAGGCTGAGGCAGGAGGATCACTTGAATCCAAGAGTTTGAGGTGGCTGTGAGCTATGATGCCACTGCACTCTACCCAGGGTGACAGAGTTAGACTTTGTCTCAAAGAAAAAGAAAAAAAAAAGAATTATTTACAAAACACCTCTCACAAAGCCCAGGCATAAGCCCCAGACCCTGAGCACCTGCCGAGCCCCCTCTCATAACATGTGTGCCCATTCCCATACCCCTGTCTCTCTGAATGGTGCATAAAGATTTCCTAGGGTTCCATTCAGACAACTGCAAGGTTATTTTCAACTGTGAGAATCTGGTTTCTGAAATCCCATGATTCTCAAAGTGTGAATGATTCTAAGATTCATGGTGCTAACATTCTTCAATGTTAAGACTCCCAATTTGAAGATTTTTGTTTTGTTGTTCAGATTATTTGATCTACGATATGCAGATTCTAGAATCAAAGACTTGGTTTCAGAATTTGGAGATTCTGATGTTGTTTTGGGAGCCCACAATTCAGTCATCCTGTGATTGACCCCCTAGAAGTCGAACTAATCCAGAAGGAGAGTCTCTGAAGGGACTTAGGGAGACCCAGAGGCCCCACCCGACCCCTCTGCTCCCAGGTCTTACCAATTAATGTGCCCAGGTGAACGTTGATGCCCTGCACCAGGCTGGCAATGCTCAGACACAGCTGCAGCGAGGGAGAGAGGGGGGCTCGGGTTAGGGCTACCCTTGGGCAGGCGGGGGTGAGGATCCCTGTCTAGAGCCTCCCCTGACCTGTGCACCAAGTCTGGACTCCCTCCCATCCTCCACCCCCCAGTGGCATCTACTAGCACCTTCTCTGGGCACTGAGGAAGCAGGAAAACCGCCCTTAGGTTGATGGGGGCAGCGTGGGCCCATAGGCATCAAGGACAGGACAGGGGCTGGGGAGCACAGCAGAGGTGCCCATAGGCTGTCCCTGAGTGACTGAGGCAGGGAGCCTGCTGCAGAAGGCCCCAGAGGGCCAGTTGGTGAGAGGGTGGCACCCATGGTGGGCCTCAGATGCCAGGGAGATTGGAGGCTCTTCCAGGCACAGTGGGCAACCAGAGAAGTGTATTAAGCTGGGGTCACTGTGACCAATGCTGGGGGCAGAAGAAGAACTGCAAGGCCGGGGACACTCATAGCCTGGTCCAGGCCAGAGCTGGTGAGTCTGGGCCAGCTGAGGCCCCAAGGAGGAGAAGGAGGAGGACAACAATGACAAGGAAGAGGAGGGAGGAGTCCTCCCCTCCTACAGGGCTGCCCACAGTCCCTTGCCCAGAGCATGATGGCTGTGAGGGGAGCAGGGTAGCCACAGGGAGAGGAGGAAACACTGGACCAAGAGGCAAGGTTAAGGGACCACCCGGACAGCCTGCAGGGCTGTCAAATCAAGCTGCACCACCTGCACACCTTGAACCTCAGTTTTCTTATCTGCAAGATGGGAATGTTGCAGTCCCTCTCTGGGGGGATGTTGACTTGGTCTCTACTACTGTCCCTTAAAGGGGTGTGGTGGTGGGATGGGATGAGGCAGGGAGGGAGAACCAGCTCCCCCTGGACAGTGAGACCCTGGATCTCACCAGGTCAGATCCATGCAGAGAATGACAGGAGCTAAAATAGCCACTCACTCTGCCAAACATTGTCCAACGCGCTTCTCAAATGTGAACGCACTTAGTCCCCACAACAACCGTCCCGCCCCTGCCCCCAAGTAACCTTTCTGGAGTCAGGAGCAGAGGGAGGCTGAGTGGCTGACCTGCAGTGTGCAGCTGGGAAGAGGGGTGCCTGCACTCACCTGGCCATATCTGGTTCCAGCACCCATGCCTTGCTCAGTCTTTGTCTCCTTTACATAAATCACAGGCCCAAGAAGGCATTGTCTTCACTCCCAAGTGTGGAACTGGGTCTCCTCAGGGGGATTAACCTTCCTCCCCTCCAACCTCACAGACACTGCTGCCCTTATTTGGGTCTCCCATTACTACCCTGGACCATTGGCACCAGCCCCTGCCCTGCCTTCATGGAAAAGTGAAGCCACCCCATGAAGTGCCTTCTATTTTTTCAAATCCTAAACAAAGCCCCCCCGGGCATGAGATCCCACCCTGCCATCACCATGCCTTTGGAATGGAGTGGTACCCTCCTTACTGAGATGTCTGTCAAGTCCATTACCTTATTACTCAAGACGGCTTTGATGTGTTTCTGCACCAAGGCCAGCAGCGCATGGGAGGTGCTGGAGAGAGACACAGGAAGGGCTTCTGAGTTCCCAGACCACACATGCTAGGCTCTATGTCAGCAAAGCCGCAAGTCCAGAGAGGCAGTGATTCCCATCCTATACACGGCCATGTGCCAGACATAGTGTCTGCATAACTGTCCCCACAGATGAGGAAACAGAATCTCAAAGAAGAGGGTCATTTGTGTCAAGGTTTGGAAGTGGCCAAGAATGTAATAAGTTAGGCCAGGCATAGGGAGACAGAGGGGACATTACCAAAGCCAGACTTGGCCACATCCTCAGCCAGCTGGCTTTCTGGCCGCCCTGGGCCCAGGGGGAGAGGCCAGACTGAGACCCTGCCGCCTGCTTGGGTCCAGTTTTCTGTGATACACCTAATCAAGTCCCTTCCTGGTGCTGGGCCTCAGTTTCCCTCTGAACCATGAGAATTGGGTCTAAGTCAGTGTTTTCGGGCAGTGTTCCACAGCAACCTCTGCTTCCTTGGATCACTAAAATGTTGATTCAAGTTAAAGCCCAAACTCTCAGGATCACCTCCCAGGGAGGTGGGAGGATGGCATCTGTGTCTTTAAAGCCACCCACCTCTGGGCTTTCATTCACCTTCAGTAAACTGTGAACAGCCCCTGCCCATGAAGACCATGAGGGGTAGTGAGTTATACACGACGATCACAGTACACAGGCACAGATGGATTTGTGCGCAGATACCCCTCTGTGGGAAAGAAGCTTAGTCTTCCTGCAAACATTTCATTCTTTTAAGCCTTCAAAATGTTCAACCGCCTCAGTGTGAGTGCCCACCCACATTTGGGAAGGTGTAAACATAATATAAAGGGATTCACATAGGCTGCCTGGGTTTGAATCTGGTCACACCTCTTGGCAACTGTGTGACCTTAGGCAAATCACTTAACTGCTCTGTGCCTCCGTTTGCTCTCCTGTAAGATGGGGAAATATATACCTACCTGTGGGCAGCAAAGGAGGTGATCTGTGCAAAGGGCCTAGAGTGGTGCCCAGCAACCAGTAGGCGCTCTGGGTGGGGGCTGCTAATAGTTAGATGCAGGAGTGAACAGCCCCTGACCACTGGAAGGGCTCGGCCAGTCCCCGGCCCTCTCCAGCTTCCTTCTCCCCGTGTCTGCTGGGAGGAGTGGCTCCCTCAGTTCTAATTCATCCCAAATCCCTCCCCAAAGAATATGTTAATAGATAGTGTGTTTTGTCTCATGGTACAGAGTGGTAAGGAGGACATTGGCTCTGGCCACTCGCTTACTGTGTGACCTCAAGCAAGTCTCTCCCCTTCTCTGTGCCTTGGAGTCCACAGTCATAAAACAGGTATGATAATGGGCATCTCTGCTATTGTAGCCATGGGATAAAGCTCTGAGTGGGAAGTTCACAAAAGGTCACTACAGCCCTAGCACCTGATATTCCTACCCTGCCCTCACTAGGTACTCACCTGTTACTGTCATCAAAATTGCTGGAGTGGCCTAGGAGTGGGAAGCAGGTAGAGATGCTGACCACGGGGGTTCCAATGGAGCTCTTGGCCACACGGACGTCAGCCAGCAGTTCCACAGGCAGGGTCAGCTCCAGGGGCTCTGGAACACTGCAGGGAGCTAGTCCTGAGTCCCAGCGGTACCACCCAGCAGAGCCCACCACAGCCAGTGAGGGACCCTGCAAATCCCTCAGCGTGTGCCTGACCTCCACTCACGGTAAGATAGCCCCTCCCAAGACAGCCCTAGACACCTCCTCAAACTCCACTCAAGGTCATAGACATTGCAGCAGATGGGTGTGAGCTCTGGCTCTCTGGGCCCTTCACTGAAAGACCCTGGACCAGCCATTTGCCATGCGGAGCTTCAATTTTCTCTTCTGTGAAATGGACATAAGATTGGTTGTGTCTATTTCACAGGGCCCTGCTGAGTTTTCTATGAAATAATAATGTGAAATTATCCAGTTCAGAGCCTGCTCCCATAGTAGTCTGGTCCCTATGGATCTCTCTGAATGCCCAGCTCATAGTTTGAAAATTAAATACCTCCACATACATGTTGGAGGCACAGAAATAATTCTGAAAGTCACATCTATTGTGCCTGGCTTTGCAAAAGGGAGGGCAGTAGTTATAGCAATGAACCCATTTCTGTGACCCCCACAGCCACCCTGAAAAGGTTCATCCCACTTCACTGATGAGGAGACTGAGGCTTGGAGAAGCAAAGAGACTCTGCCTAGTGGTGCAGTGGCTGAGCAGGGTCTGGGTTCTCAGTTCTCCCACTGTCTGATTGCCAGGGTGGGAGAGAGAGGGCACTGGCAGGGAACCAGGGGGCCTGGGTGATGATCCTAGAGGAGTTACCAATTCCCTCCCCTCACTCCACCCCTCAGAACATCCTGGAAACTCCTCTTATGCCCCAACAATGAGATTCACTCACCAAAAGATCTTGAAAGTCAAATTGGCTGCTGCTGACAAGTGGATCCCAAAACCAGCAATGAATTTCAGGTGGAAGTGGAGCACGTGGACATTCAGAATCTGGATCCTGAAGGATAGGAATCAAGGTGACAGAGCGTTCCCTGTTAAACCAGAATTAACTCTGGTGGGGGAGCTCCCAGGCACACCTGTACTGTTGGCGTTATGAAGAAGGACTTTCTGGCCATTGGAAACATGGTGAGGGAGAGGTGGTGAGTTCCCCATCATGGGGGGCATGCAAGCCAAGGTAAACAACCAGCTAGTAGGGAAAACATGCAGGGGACCCCCAGCATCAGCCAGAACTGGGTGAGATGATTGCTCTGGGTTTTGACAATTTCTGACAGCAATCTGGAAAGCTGAGAAGAGGGTACAGGGGAGACTATGGGAACCAGAGTAGGCAGAACTGCCCTCTGCAGCGTCTAGTCAGTGTCTTTGGCCGGTAGCCTTCCAAAGCCGCTGTTCTGCTTGCCAAGCACTCTCCAGCTCACCTACAATTTCCTTTTTTCCTAAATGAAAGTCGGTTTTTTTTTTCCTGTATAGTAGTTGGGGAGAAATTCAGACGTGGCAAAATGATATGAAGCATAAGGGTCACATCAGAACCCCACTCTTGAACATCCCCACTGTTAGCACTGGGTGACATCTTCCCGAGACTCTCCTCGGGACACTGGCCGAGCTAGCACCTGCTACTGTTCGCTGAACAACCATGCTGGATGTGTTCCCACATCCACCAATAAGGGTCTTTGGTGGGGTTTTCAAACAGCCACGTGGTGTTCCTGTGTGGATAGATCACAACTCACTGAGGAACTCTCTGTTGTGGGGTATTTGTGTTGTCCCCAGTTCTCCACCATTATTAAGAGCACCACCCCCCTCACACACACACCCCTAAGGGCTCTCACACTGGGGAACTCCAGGCCAGATTTTTTTTTACCTACCCACTTCTTATTCCAGTGTTTTAGAGTTTTTAATGTTTTAAAATGAGCGGATATCCACCAAGTGCAGTGGTTCTACTTTTAATCCTAGCACTCTGGGAGGCCGAGGCAGCTGGGTCACTTGAGCTCAGGAGTTCGAGACCAGCCTGAGCAAGAGTGAGACTCTGTCTCTCTTAAAAATAGAAAAACCAGCCAGGCATTGTGGTGGGCCCCTGTAGTACCAGCTACTCAGGAGGCTGAAGAAAGAAGACTGCTTGGGCCCAAAATAAAATAAAATTAGTTGTACCATTCAAAATTTGATAGATTATAGATATATATCTTCTCCGGGAAACCTAAAGATCTGACAATAGTGAGTCTGTGTTCCCGCATGGATGGTGACAATCCCCCAGCCCTGGGAGGTGTCTAAGTTTGAGACAGCCCCACCTACCTCTGCCTTTCAATCTTTATGCATTAAGGGGCGTGAGGCTCAGACATAGGTCTAAATTCAATGTCTGGCCTTTGGAGGAAGAAGCTGAGGTCCTGCCAGCCCTTGGGGACCCAGTAGCCATGGTCTTGGTCCCTGAGGACAGAAATCCACTAATCAGATGCAGCAGGCCACCTTGGTTCCTTCTTCTTGAGATCCCTCATTTGGGGAGGGGAGCACTGTTCTAGCTGTGGGAGAGTACCCACCTCTAAACAAGTGTGCTAGTCTGGAGCATTCTGCCCAGTGGGTGGGAGCACTCACCTGGTGGGGGACCATCTCCCTAGCAGCCGGCAGCATCTTCTTTGGAGGGAGGGAGCACTCACCTGGTGGGCTGAAGCACCTCTCCACTCTGGTCCAGGAAATGTGGGACGGTGACCTGAAGAGCCCGCTGGAGAGGGGCTTTCCCGATTTCAGACACTATGGGGCCAGAGCAGAGTGAGATCAGGCTGCCCTCTGCAGCCACCAGGCAGCAGGAGCATACCACTCACCACCCCCTGCCCCACGTGGGACTGGAAGGGGCAGGCTTGCATGGGAACACATGGGGGTTGGGCAGCAGGCTCCCCCAGAGCCCACCTATGTGCATCAAGCCCTCTGTGCCGGGCAGGCCCTGCCTCCCTCTCTCTGCCTCTCAGAATCCTGCTTGTTTACCCCTTTCCTCAAAAACTGTGGTTGGATCCTTTTTTCTCTTGCAAGGCTCCAGCTGGATCCCACCCTCTCCTCCTCTGGGAGCCTTCCCCAAGTCCTGGAGCAGAAGGAGCATTTCCCCATGTGGAAGTGTCCCTGGAGAGGGAGGGAGAAGCCTTGCTGGAAAACTGAAGACTCACGAGCCCCCCAGAGGCTGAGTGCAAACCCCAGCCCTGCTACTCACTGCCCGTGCAGCTGCTGCTCCGGGCTCAGTTATCCCCTCCATAAATTTGTAGCGATTATCATGGCATCTGTGACTTGGGGCCATTGTAAAGCCTTGGTGCGCAGTAAGTGCTTATGATCACCACTGCTATTTACTTTTGTAAGAACAGTGACTGTCACTTACACAGCACTCCCAGAGTGCCAGGCACCATTCCAAGTGCTTTTCTGTTCTTATCGTGCCCAATTTACAGAGAGGTGAGGACACCTGGCCAGGGAAGCTGGCTCTGACTGAGGCATCTGGCTCTGAGCCTCTGGACTTCCTCATTCACGTTGCTGCTGAACCGGAGGAAGGTGTTAATTAAACATGAGGTGAATTCAAACAAGGGGTGATGGCGCTGGAAGGGGCATTGAATTAGACATCACAGGCCTGAACTCTGCTCAGACTTGCTGGGGGAGCTTGAGAAGTCCCTGAGCCTCTCTGGGCCTCAGTTTCCCCAGAGTATAAAGGTGGTACTGTCTGTGTTCCCAATGTCCTTCCTGGCCTGATTTTATACGGCCGAGATGAGAACTCTAGGCCTCAGGTTCCATCTGCAGTGATCCCTGCCGTGGGCCTTGAACTCTAGGGACTATGGGATGGGGTGGGGGGCGCAGTGGAAACCACCCATCCTGGCCTCGAAGCAATGTATGCAGTGTGGGCCTCCGGCCAGGTTTCTGCCAGGACATAACACAGGCCAGCAAGCCAGGGAGGACTCCCTGGGGACAAAGGAGGCTTGCACAGGGCAGGGAGAGGGCAGGAAGGCGGTGAGGGTGGCGGGCCTCACGTCCCTTCCTGCAGCCATCCATGCGTGGCTCCGTGCTCCAGTCACACTCTGGCACGGATCACTGACCCCTTTCTTTGCCAGCCCATCTGCCCGGATACAAGGTCCCGGAAGGCTGTGTGTGTGCCTGAGGGTGGGGGGACCCTGCTGCTGTCCTGAGCCACTGACTCACTGCTTTGTGGTCCGGGCCATTGAAAGGTTGTTCTACTGTCTGATATAAGTCTCTCACACTATCGTTACAGCTGAGCTTGGTCATGGGGAAAACAGCTTCTGATTTCCCAGCTTTGGTGGAACCCTAAATTCTTCCCCCAGGAGGCAACCAAGAGTGAAAAAAGATTTATGTGCTGGGGTCCTGGACTTTGGCAGTGTTTCTCCCTCCCTGGGCCTAGGTTTCCTCGTTGTGCCTTTCCCACGAGATAGGACAGGACTTGGAAGGATCGGGTCGCAAATCTCCCAAGTGGGGCCCAGAAAGGGGCTGGTTTTCTTCTGCTGAGCCCAAGAGGAACCTAACCTCAGTAGCACACGCCATGCTAGACACAGCTCTTCTGAGCACGTGTACAGACCCCCCCCACACATGTGTACACCTCAGGCGCGCAGCCACTCGATGCACACCCACCAGCTGTGTGTCCACTGTCCAACACATAGGCACATCTGTATGATATTTTAAACTCATATGTAGACACTCAAAAAAAAATAGCCACTTAAATTGCCCCATGCCCACATCACTAAAGCGCATGAGCACGGTCCTGTGCGCACATTGACCACATAATGCATACTCATACTCATGCCCTCATTTTAATAAGTATTTGTTGAGCTGCACTGTGACAGGCATTTTCTGGCTACTAGAGACATAGTAGCAGATAAAAATCTAGGTCTTCATAAGGCTTTTGAGATCACAAATACACACACACACACACAGGATATCCCCCACACATGCAGATATGAACTCGCAGACACACGCTCAGTGGCCATCTCTTACCGTAGCTCAGTGCAGCCTTGTTGAGTCTGACTACAGTGCTCGGAATAGAGGCGCTGACCACCGGCAGCAGCAACACCAGTAGCAGGCCCAGCCCACGTGCCCCAGTCATGGCAGCCCTGGCCACTGCGCCCAGGATCTGTGGGCTAAGGTAGGGGCAAGAATTAGGGAGCTTGGCCAGAATGGCCCACCCCTGAGCTGCCTGATGGGAGCTCCCAGTCCTGCCCCAGGTGCCCAGACATTAGTTTTTGCATCTCTGGACTGGGAACAATCACTTTGCCCTTCCTATTCCATCAGGAACCACAGGAAACCAGTCTGGATATGGTCCCTAAGGCCCAGAGAAGAATAGTCTTGCCTAAAGCCACACAGCAGACTAGGGCCAGGTATAGCACCTGGGCTCCAGCAGAGGAAGATGGTAAGACTCCCAAATGGGGAGACCAAAAGCAGCTTCCTATCCCAAGAAGATAGTCCAGGCCCACCACCCTGAGGCCCAGGGCTGTATCACCTAATGCCAAGAGTCCAGCCCAGCACGACAGCTGGTGTCCAGGGGAGAACCCAAAGGGGTCCTGTCCTCATCTCATCCTGGCCAGGTGAGGAATGCCTTCAAAGTAAGCCTCTCACACACACACCCCTCCCCTCCCCACCCATCCTGGCTGAATGGGCAGATCTATGTCAGGGAGAGGGAGCCAGGGGGAATGAGGAATTGCTGCTCAGATGGACTAGCTGAGGCCCATCAAGTGGCACTGGCCAGGAGTCCCACAGCAAGATCAGGGATAGACAGACCTTCTCCAGAAGGAGGCTGGGGGTAGTATCGCACTGCACAGAAGAGAACTGAGGCTCCTTGCTGGATGAGTGCCTGTCCCATCCCCATTCCTACCTCAGGCAGCTCCTTGAACAGGTGAACTGTCCACCCCCGGTGGCCAAGTGTGGAGGCTGCTATATGCGGCTTCCCAGTATGCAGGGCCTACTGGGAAGGGACCTGAGGAGTGGCAGGTTTGCTTGTGGTTGCAAGTGTTTTCCTTGCAAACATGGTCCTTGCCAAAGTGTATCATCCCACATGTGTGGTAGGGCTGCCACGTAGCCAGGCCAGACTGCCAAATTCTGTAAGACCCTGGGCTAGGGGCAGCTTTGGCTTCAAGGATCAGGAGATAGTGGAAGGAAGGCTGCTCCTAGGAGGGTACCCTCATCACCCCAGCCTTGTCCAGCGAAGGCCCAGGAGGAAGTGGGCACTCAAAGGCAGGAGGATGGCTGCACTAACTTCTCAAGCCTGGTGCCACCAAGTTCTTCCAGAAACATACTTTTAGGAGGAGCAGAAGGCTACCTGAGCCCTAATGCTAGTCATATACACTGAGACCTGACCCACTCACTGACTGAGCCTTGATCCTGGTTACATACTGAGTCCTAATCCTGGTCACACACTTAGGTCTGACCCCAGGTATACACTGAGCCCTGACCCAGTCACTGACTGAGCCTTGATCCTGGTTATATACTGAGCCCTGATCACTGTCACACACTGAGCCCTAACTCAAAAGGGAAGAGATATGAAAGTGTGGATGACCCAATCCCCGTTCCTTAACACCCCAGCCTCTCTCTAAATGCACATCCCACCTACGACGGATTTAGTCCATCACCTTTTTTCCACAATACAAACTCCAAGTTCCACTTTGGTTATATGGGACAAAATGAACTGTGTGTGTACATGAAGAAATTTGTATATACACATGCATGTGAAGATTATTTGTGTTTGTGTGTGCATAGTCACATGTTCATTAAGTCATAATTACTGGCATCAGAGGAAAATGTATGTTTTTATGTGTGTGGACATGAAATGAGCCTGTTGGCATTTTGGTTGTGGTGTTACAGGCCTGTTTACACAAACATGCATGCATGTAGATGGGAGTTTTATGTACGCATATGCATATGTGAGTTTGGGCTACTGAGTGTGAGTCTACAAGTGTGTGGTGTTAGGTGCATGTGTGCACGGATACACAGTGGACTGCTTTCTGGTATCAGGAGATGTGTGTATTTGTGTGCATCTATATGTAGGTGTGTGCATCTGTATGTAGATGTGTGCATGAGGGGTGATGGCATAGCCACAAAGAAGGCCCCTCTGTTTCCCTGTATAACACAACTGGGTCATAGGCACAAGAGGCCTTCCCCCACTCAGATTCCTCTATGGCTCCCACTTACTCCACACCAGCCCAAATATCAGGCCCAGAGCCCAGGCCCACCTGGGGCTGGGCCCCCACTAGTGCCAACAGAGGACATAGATCCCTTCAAGCCCTTCCTAAGGATCCAGAGCTCCCTTGAACTAGTCCTGCCTCCTAGCCGGTTCCTCCATCCCTATTTTATTTTTTTAATTTATTTTTATTGTTTGGGGTTCATTGAGGATACAAAAAATTAGGTTACACTGCTTGCATTTGTTAGGTAAAGTCCCCTTATAGTTGTGTCTCTCCCCCAAGGTGTGCCATACACTGTAACCTCCTTGCCCCTCTCCCTTGTCCCTTGTTCCCCTACCCCCCACCTTGAATTGATTTGCGTTTTTCTCTTATGAGGGTATGTATTAGATCATCTACTGGCTTCATATTAGAATTGAGTACATTGGATTCTTGCTTCTCCATTCTGGTAATACTTTACTAAGAACATGCTCCAACTCTATCCAGATTAATAATACAAAAGATGTAAAGTCTTCATCTTTTTTAATGGCTGAATAGTATTCCATTGGTGTGTGTATATATATCACAGCTTGTTAATCCATTCCTGGGTTGGTGGGCATTTAGGTTGTTTCCACATTTTGGCTATTGTAAATTGAGCTGCAATAAACAGCTTAATGCATATGTCCTTATGATAAAATGATTTTTTCTTCCGGGTAGGTGCCTAATAACGGGATTGCAAGATCAAATGAGAGGTCTAATTTAAGTTCTTTGAGGATTCTCCACACTTCTTTCCAAAAAGGTTGAATTAGTTTGCAGCCCCACCAACAGTGTAAAAGTGTTCCCTTCTCTCCACATCCACACCAGCATCCATAACTTTGAGACTTTCTGATGTGGGTTATCCTCACTGGGGTTAGGTAATAATCTCAAGGTGCTTTCAATTTGTATTTCTCTGACAATCAGGGATGATGAACATTTTTTCAAATGTGTGTTAGCCCTTCATCTGTCTTCATCAGAGAAGATTCTGTTCATATCTCTTGCCCAGTGGTAGATGGGATTGTTTGCTCATTTTTTGTTGATTAATTTGAGCTCTCTATAGATTCTAGTTATCAATCCTTTGTCAGTTGCATACCCTGAAAATATCTTTTCCCATTCTGAAGGTTGTCTTTTTGCTTTACTTGTTGTGTCCTTAGCCGTGCAGAACCCCATCCCTATTATAGAGGCCAAAATGAATGGGTGGAACCTGATGTAAGCTCTTTGAGCTCCTGGCCTCAGTTTGCCCATCAATACATATAAGCAGGCCCTCCTGCCCCTCACCAAGCTGAGACAAACAGCAGACTCAGTGGACAAAGGTACAAATATTGACCAAAGTCACTGTCGGTGTTTGCTGTCAGCATGAATGCTTCATCTTCCCCAACATTTCCAGGGACATTTGGGTGACAGCCAGTAGACGTAAAGAAGGGAGATTCTCGGCTCGGTGCCTGTGGCTCAAGTGGCTAAGGCGCCAGCCACATACACCTAAGGTGGCGGGTTCGAATCCCCAGCAGGGACCCGCCAAACATCAAAGATGGCTGCAACCAAAAAATAGCCAGGCGTTGTGGCGGGCGCCTGTGGTCCCAGCTACTTGGGAGGCTGAGGCAGGAGACTCGCTTGAGCCCAGGA